CACGCGATTGTCCCCTCTCGCGAGAACTTGAATGTGTGATCCGGTGTTGTCTTGGTGTTATTTATCCGCATTGCTACAGCATGTCCGGCGATTTGCGTCTGGAGTCATTTTCCGCTTCCTCCGACGTATTTGGTTTCCGGTACCTGCAGTAGATCAAATATACAACTCCAGATACTTCTAACCGTGACAGTCGGTCATTTGGTCTCATCACCTGACGCCTAGTGGCTACCTCAGGGCTGTGAGCAACTGAAAACTGAAATGGTGCGAGATGGCGACTGACGACCTCGGAGACGTTGTTCGTGTACGGGATCGCCATCCATTTTCTCTGAAAACCACCGAAGATATTAGAATTAGGCAGCCCTGACTTCCGGCTCACTAAAATGCGTCATAACACGCCGATATAGGATCCTTACGCAAATTTTCAAATAAAAGTTACCTAGAAACAGCTACCCTTTTCGTCAGAAAGGTAAAACATCCTGCGCTACCAGCAAAGGCCTCTTGAAGGGCTTTGAGTGCAACAATTTCCAACACTTTCAAGCATATCCAAAGTTCTGTGAATACTCCACTTTGCGCTTGAAGAGTCAATTTGGCAAGCACGCGTTTTCTCTAAATCATCGTCCGGCCAGTAAGATTGTACTTAAATTGTAAATAAGAGAAGATTTCAAGGTTCATATGTGACTCTGGGACCATTTATACATATCGCTACCACGTCTTCTATGACGAGTTTGATGTATTATGATTATAGGCGCAAGAGGAAGGGGATTAGCTTGGCGATGAGTGATGTTTTAGTTTCGTGTGCGTAGCGTACACATCATAGTCATCTGGGGGTTGAAGTAGTGTGTAATAAACATCAGGGGTTAGTGTTGGTCCGGAAAACCAAACAGCTGTATCGACGTCTACTTACAACGTAGAAATAGATACAATAGTCATATAACCACTGCCTCGGCTGCAGTTAACAGTCGTAGTGTTTTTCCTTAATATTTAAGAGAAAAAATATCTCTGGGTATCCGTCCTCGCACAGTATGTTCCGCGACTACTGAAGCTCTACTTTAGCAGTATCAAATGAGCAGATACGCCGCACTCTAATTGGAAATTCATGAAGCAAGTTATGTTTAATATTAAGGTAGACAAACTGCAAAATTTAATAAATTGCTCCCCCTCGGTTTTCTTTCGGAATACCCTGCGCTGGATAGATCCATCCTGCTTCTCTTCATAAGACCATGGGAAACCAGAATTCGTTGCCTGTTTTGAGCACTTCAGATGCATATAGGGAGGGGTGTGCACTGTCAAACTTTTGAATGAGGGCGTGAACATCGGTGGTAAGATCCCTAAGACAGCATGTTCTTGTAACGCTTGATTGCCAATAACGCCTCTTTCTCCGCTCCACACAAATTATCATTCCGAACAAGCGGCCGCTAAACGCGATAGTATGTCCTCCTCCATATAACGTAATGGCTTCGTAAGTTCAACACATTATTTTCGGGCGATGATGTCGGTGGGAAGATCCGTCGGGTCCCGTATCGCTTGTTATTAATAGTGTCCTGTAACCTTGTCTTCTCGACTTTGCCTATGAAAACATAAGCGAGGAACTGACCAAGTGGTTAATTTACCGATTTGCAATCTTAGTGCCTATATAGCTAATCACTGCAGAGAAACTGAACATTTTGTTTGCAAAGTGTCAGCAATTTTTCCATCGCATTTATTGACATGCCCATCGGCTAGTTCGTGTCGTGGGTAAGGTCACAGGGGTATTTTAGTGTTTCTGCTGTGGATACGTTGGCGGACAGTCACGATTCCTCTAATGATAGCAATTTCCGTCCATCAATATTAGTATTTTTGATAGCCTCGGCAAAATCGTATGAGTCTCTTAAACTTCAAGCCTACAAATGACATCGCCGCGGTTTTCATTTTTCGACCACCTACTGCTTTGGATTGTTTAGAAAAACGATCTGAGCCTCCACTATTTGGACAATTCCTAAGAGCTTAGTCCACCTGGCCACGATTCTTTTACTTCCGAATGATTCCGGGTAAATTTTCAGACACCAGTCTCTCGTGGTTTTTTAAGGCAGCCGAGGGTCACTGCTCTCCGACACAGTTTGCGCTGGGATTCATCAATTCCGGCGCTATTTGTCTCAAGGAGGCTTTCTGCATGTCATCTTAGTGCGGCTGATAAACCGGCAATATGGTTTATTCGTAGGGGTTTCTAAAAGTGGTTCGGACGTTCACCCCGGTTATCATTCAAAGTGCGACATATTTGCCTGACTTTACGATCATTAGACTGTGATTGTTTGCTTAAATGTCGATTTTGGATATTTTACAAGGTTCTGATCGAGTTTAATCTACGCTTGAACGGATTAACTCCTACAGACTGCAGCATGTGTGCATTTCCTTGTGACAAACAGATTTCAACGTGTACTAAACGTAACGGCTTCGTACGTTCAACATGACGTAAGTTATGTCGTTCCCGCGAACTAACGAACTACGGCTTACTAACCTCATAAACGGAGAGAGGTAAGGAAGGCCAGTAAGTGAATAAAGTTAATATTCAAAATGAGCAACGACCTGACCAGAGAGCACGCAAACGGCGCGAAGCTTACAAGCGGCGGAGTATTCGTCACGTTAAAACAAATGCTACAGTAAAACAAACGTGACAAGATAGTCAAAGGTCAAGTAGTCAAGTACTTCAGCACAGTATCCCCCTCCGATACCGGAGGGCGGCGTGAACGACGCCGGGGGACATACAAAGGTCTAGGAGAAATGAGTAACTAGACGATCGGGAAAGTGAACGTGACGTCCACTGCGGGTGATATATGCGGGAGGCCCTGTTGGAGGCAGCTGAGTAGGTGTTGTAGTGGACAAGTTAAGGGTGGAGGAAGAGGTTGCAGTTTGATGCTGCGAACAAGAAGGAAGAGGAAGTATACGGGACGGAGGGATAGGTGGGGAAAGTGGAAAAGGAGTGGGAGGAGGTATGGGGTCAGCACACGCTTGTCCTTGAGACACGTCCGGGGGCTCCTCTGCAACAGTAACCTTGACCCGGTCGATGCTGACTACGTCCTTTTTGTCACCTCGCAGGATCCGAAAGGTCTTGCTGTTACGTGCAAGCACACGGAACGGTCCTTCGTATGGTGATTCTAACGGCTTCCGCACACGATCACACCAAACGAACACATGGGTGCAATTGGCTAAGCCTTTTTCAACATAAGGCTCCGTCGATGGAGCTCGAGGTGGAACCGGGGAAAGCGAGCGCATGAATTGTCGCAGACGATGCACAAAATTTTCGGGGGTCTCTTCGGCACCACGAGAGGTTGGGGTGACCATCTCACCAGGGAGTCGGAGGGTAGTGCTGAAAACCAATTCGGCTGCGCTGCAGTCCAAGTCTGACTTCAGTGCCGCACGAATGCCAAGAAGTGCAACGGGTATATTGTCTGACCAGTTTTCGGGATCTTCTGAGGCACGCAGTACAGTTCTTAGCTGGCGGTGGAAACGCTCAACCATGTCGGTGGCAGCTGGGTGGTAGGCCGTCGTCCGAATACGTGTGCAGCCAAGGAAATTGAGGAGAGTTTGGAAAAGTGTGAACTCAAACTGCGCGCCTCGATCAGTCGTAATCATGGATGGCGCACCGAATATGGCGACCCAACGACTGACGAAGGCTTTCACAATGGTCTCAGCTTGCACATTCGGTAAAGGAATGGCTTCCGGCCAACGGGTATAGCGATCAGCGCAGGTGAGAAGGTGAGTTTAGCCATTGGATGGAGGTAAAGGACCTACGACATCTAAATGCACATGGTTTAACCGTGCATCGGGGCTGGGGAACGTGCCCGATGGAGACTTGTTGTGGCGTTGAACCTTGTTACGTTGACAGCAAAGGCACGATCGTGTCCAAGCTTTCACATCCTTGTTCAACCCAGGCCATACGAACCTTTCCGCGAGGAGCTTCTGTGAGGCTCGAATCCCAGGATGGGAGAGTCCGTGGAGAGTTTGAAAAACAGCTCGACGCATCGAGACAGGCACATAAGGCGCTGAAAAGGAGTCGATACGTCACAAAGGATTGTGCCAGTGCCGGTGATCAATGGGACGTCAATTAATTGAAGACTGTCAACAGACTCGTCGCCAGGGCATCCCACGCGTCGTTGTTTAGCCGCCATAGCACCAAGATCAATCCCGTGTGAGAGTTGAAACGCCGACAGGGAAGGTCTGGACAGCATGTCGGCCATCGCATTCTTCGGGCCATCAATGTGGCGGATGTCGGTGGTGAATTGCGAGATGTAATCCAAATGAGAAATATCTCTCGGGTTATATTTGTCAGAATGGTTCGGATGGCAAATGTAAGTGGTTTGTGGTCTGTGAAAATTGTGAAGTCACGACCCTCAAGGAAGTGTCGGAAATGTTTTACGACTAGGTAAATGGCAAGAAGTTCACGGCCAAACGTGCTATATCTCGTCTCGGCAGGTGAAAGCTTCTTGGAGAAGAATGCCAACGGTCGTGTCGAGTCGTTGATATGCTGTTGGAGGACTGCTCCGACGGCAACGGTCGAAGCATCAACCATCAGGGACAATGGGGCTTCTGGAGCAGGATGAGTGAGCAAGGTAGCATCAGCAAGGGAGGTCTTTATTCTCTCAAAAGCAGTCAGCGCGTGGCCACGTAACTCAAGGGGACCCTTGGGACCAGAGAGCAAGTTGGTGAGTGGCAGCATAAGGTCGGTACAGTTCGGTAGGAACTGGCGATAAAAGTTTACCATGCCAAGGAAACGTTGCAACTGAGGCTTGGAGGTTGGTGGAAGAAAGTCACGAATGGCCTCAACCTTGGAAGAGAGGGGACGCAAACCTTGTGCATCGATATGGTGACCAAGAAAATCAAGGGACGGCACACCCAGGACACACTTGGAAGGGTTAATGACCACGCCAAACTGATCGAGGCGGTCAAACACTAAGGCAAGATGCTCTTTGTGTTCCTCGGCATTTCGACTGGCCACCAAGAGGTTATCTATGTAGGCGTACACAAACGGAGGGACCACGTACGACTCGGTCAATGAACCTCTGAAATGTTTGGGCAGCACTGCGAAGACCAAATGGCATGCGAATAAATTCGAACAGGCCGAATGGTGTGGTGACGGCAGTTTTGGGAACATCCTCAGGAGCGACAGGAATCTGATGGAAGGCCCGAACAAGGTCAATCTTCGAGAAAACCGATTTGCCGAAAAGAGCTCCAGCAAAATCTTGAAGATGAGGGACAGGATAACGATCCGGGATGGCCGCATTGTTGAGGGCGCGATAGTCACCACAGGGCCGCCAGTCGTCTGATGTCGCCTTGGGCACCATATGCAGAGGGGACGCCCATGGACTCTCGGACGGCCGAATTATGCCCAGTTGCAGCATGTGCTCAAATTCGGCCTTCGCCGCTTGCAGACGGGACGGAGCCAGTCGTCTAGGCCGTGCGAATACTGGGGGGCCAGAGGTGCGAATGTGGTGGATAACGTCATGCTGGATCTCACCACTGCGAAACTGGGGTTTGATTATGTTGGGGTGTTGGAGGAGCAGGTCTCGGTATGGACAAGCAATACCTGTGTCCAGAACAGATAAATTGCAGGAGTCATTAAAGGGTGTAAGACCGCCGACAGAAAGACCAGTTGTGCGGTCGAGGAGACAGGAACGCCGACAGTCAACAAGGAGATCAAACTCGGCTAAGAAGTCGGAACCAAGGAGCGCATGAGGCACATCGGCAATCACAAATATCCAGGAGAATGATCGACGAAAACCAATGTGTAGACTTAGGGAACGATTACCAAAAGTGGAAATGGGGGAACAGTTTGCAGCTTGGAGATGTAGACCAGGGCTGGGACAGCGGCGGTCAACTGGAGTGGGGGGAACCACGCTGATCTGGGCTCCGGTGTCCACCAGGAAACGCCTGCGAGTCACATTGTCGCAGACATAAAAGGTGCGACCAGAGCTGGGAGAGCCAGAGAAAACGGTCGCGTCTATTCTCTGACTGGCTGGTTTCCCTGTTTTGGTTTAAATCAACAAGGGGAAGAACATTTGCGAGCCTTGGCGGCAAAGTTTGCGTGATACCAACAAAAATTGGCTGTGCGAGGTCGCGAACGTGAACGATGACGGCTGGGTGAGCGACTATAGGTAATGCGAGCAGGCTGTAATTTTAGGGAGGATATCTCATTCGCCACAGCCGACATCCGTTGCAGTAACTGCTCATTAACCGTTGAAGAGGATGTGGAAATCTGAGCGACGGAAGGTGGCTGGAACCGTTGAACCTCTATCATTCGGTCTGCCATCTCAGCAAGATGTGAAAGTGTAAGGTCTTGCGAGCCGGATGCCAAAATTGTTTGGACAACTGCAGGCAGCCACTCTAGAAACATCTCTATAACGAGTTTTTTGTCGATCTGCATATCTTCTAAGAAAGTACGCATTCGTCGGAGAAGTTCTGAGGGCTTCCGGTCGCCCAGTGATTCCTCCTTGATCAACTGGTGGTAGCGTTGTCGGTCAGATACAGCAGTGAGACGAAGGATTTCAGCCTTCAGAGCAGAATAGGGAGCGTCTGCAGGGGGTTTCACTAACAAGGGATGAACCTGTGAGATAATATTGGCAGGGAGAACCTCCACAAGTTTGTGGTATTTCGACAACTCTTTCGTAATGTTGGCGGAGTAAAAGGCTGACTCGATGCGGATAAAATAAAGTTCAGGGGCGTGTTGCCAGAAATCAGGCAAAGTGAAATGGACGGCATCAACAGACTCGGCAGGAACGTCAGGTTGTTGAGTTGAGAAAGACATAATAAGCAAAATATAGGCAGTACAATATCGTGAAAAGGTTAGCGACAAATGTAAAGGAACTAAAATTTGTCAAATAAATACAGGACGTTAAATGTCATTAAATGTTACAGAAGGAAAGAACTCAAGTCTGCGCAAACGTCGGGAGTCACCAATGACGTAAGTTATGTCGTTCCCGCGAACTAACGAACTACGGCTTACTAACCTCATAAACGGAGAGAGGTAAGGAAGGTCAGTAAGTGAATAAATTTAATATTCAAAACGTGCCACGACCTGACCAGAGAGCATGCAAGCGGCGCGAAGCTTAAAAGCGGCGGAGTCTTCGTCACGTTAAAAAAATGCTACAGTAAAACAAACGTGACAAGATTGTCAAAAGTCAAGGAGTCAAGTACTTCAGCACAAACACATGATTTCAGATGTGAAAAGAACATATACATATACGTTAATGGGTACTCTATGGAGCTGTGTGATTGTGTGGATTATCCCTAAGACACACCGATGCGGTACGTGCGATGGGCCAACTTGGGACTTATCGGACTTCCGGCACCGTTATCGGAAATGCGCACATATAAAATTGCCAACATTGGTGGTGGTGTGGCAGGACGTCGTGTCGTTCCACACCGATGCCATTAAAATTTGAGCAGCCACTCGTCTATTTTTTTCTTCTGCTATAAAATCATCATTAGTATACTTTGGGGAAGAGGGGGGAGGAGGGTGGTACGCCTAGATGCGATCATACGCCCTGTCAGCAATCTTAGCCCTCTCGCGCCTCAGATCTTCCTGAAGTCATTTTGACACATGATGCAGATGAGGAGGAGACAGCGCTGCAGGTGCTGTGCGGGTCTACCATCATCACAAACTAACTTACGCGCAAGTCCTTGTCCCTAATCTCACCCTGTTGTAGAGCAAATGGTAGACATAATTGTCAACACCCATCTTAGAGTCATTTGTGTGTGCTTGCTTGGGTAGAAGGTTGTCAACTAACGCCTCAACTCGAGCTACGGATTCAGCCCAATTGTGTAAATTTACGTAGTTGGGGGCTGATGCCCTGGGAGTCGGAATTACAACTATGGTAATTAATTGTTTTCAGGACATTTAACTGATGTCCACTGCTCTCTCGCTTATTTCTGTCTTCTGAGGAGGTTAAATAGTAGCCCATAATACCAGCGGCCACAATTAGATTTGAAGACCTTAGACTGTTCCAGATTTTATAATGTAGGGGGAGAGAACGGGTCATGGCATTATAAGGCTAAGACGAGTCACCATCATTATCCAATACTATTTGTCACTAGCTAGGATAAATATCGATAATCAGTGACAAACATGCCTAAAATTAAAATAATTACCAGCATCCAACAAGCCCGGAAACCCAAAGACTATGCAAAAGTCATGTGCTATTTGCAGAGTGTACTGGAAATGGAACCCGAAACGCAGAAGTTACGGGTTTATTATATTTAGGTCGGTTGACAAGGTCTAGAATGCTCGTTAAGTGCGTAGCAACGTAAATCGTAAATGTGCTATATGAACTCATGAATCTCTAGTTATTTTACACTTAGCACTCACTGTGAGTATCGATCCTGAGGGAATGGGATTATCCAAGCTATAAGACAGCTATGTGATCGGATAATAAACATGACGATTTACGACGTTTTTTCAAGGCAAATCCTCAGATATGCTATCTATATGTGCACGTGTAAGACGTGTAAGGCAGTCAATTCACACCTACACACAACCTTAACCAATAAAATGACATTCTTCACGTCGTCACGTTAACAAACGGTCAACTCCCTTGGCAGACAAATCAGAACTGTGCTGGATGCGGTCGGTTGTTCCGTCTGGGAAACATTTTTCGAAGATCTCCTTGAAGCAAATATGGCGGATGAGAAGAGTCTCAAGTTGCAAACACCGCTTGTTACTGAGCGCTGGCCTGACAGTCTCCTTCATCCTTGTCCTTGCGTCCTATTATTACCCTTTCAGTACTTTCATTACGCATGCAAACGTTCAGTATGCGCTCTCCACTGAATTGATGTACTCCTACCTACATGTGCCGACAAACAATGGTGTTGAATTGGAAATAGTAAACGCCAAATTTCGGGAAAGCATGCCATTGCTACCGCGTGATCCTACAAAGGAGAAGGTGGCTGTAATTGTGCCTTACAGGAATAGGAAGGAACATCTACTGCAATTTCTAACGCGTTTGTTGCCCTTCCTTAGGAAACAGAAGAAAGAGTATGCCATAATTATTATCGAACAGGCTGGCAATCAGTCCTTTAATCGCGCAAAATTATTCAATGCTGCGGTCAGGGAGATAAAAGAAAGCCCCCCAAGTGATCGACTGCATGGGATCAACTGTTACATACTGCACGATGTTGATAAAGTGCCAACTTCGTCTTCCACGGTCTATGAGTGTGGTCAACATGTTAAGCAACTTGCAACTGCCTTCAGATCTGTAACAGGAACTCGGTGGTGAGAGATTATCCTTTGATTATAAAAGAGGATTTTGTTTTATCGCTAAAAAGTCATTTAATGGTAAAATATGCTTTTGTTATTAAGTAAAATTCCGACCTTATTATGGATGGGCTATATTTACTTATTACGCTGCAAATTGAAAAAAGGAAACATTCAGAAACGGAGAAGCTTTGTTCTGCATTCATCGAAAATTGCAATTACTTATTCAACTCCTATTAGTTACTTATCCTTATAATCGTATCATCTTAGTTCGATGAGAATACGATAACTTCGTCAAGGACGTGCATTCAATCAAGAATCATATTTATTTGCATTTAAGGGACGACGTCCTAGCGGTGCTGATTTTCGGCGTAGGGCAGTTGAAATGTCATTTAAAGAATAATGAGTAATGTCTAGGTCAATCCAGCAGATCACGTTTAGACAGGATAGAAAAAATCTGAGGAATCTTGGAAAACGTAGTCATTTTCGTTGAGTAGCATAAAACTGTCGGACTATCTGTGTTCGGTGACAAATTAAAGTAATTTCAACCTGGTCAACGCATCGATTTAGAAAACCATAAAACCAATTGTCCCAAAGCACTCTCCTGCGCGACAATAATCATCCAAAAACCCGATTGATTCGGTCATCCTAAACTTACTGAGGCATTCACCATTTGAAGATGACACAAATGTAATTTTTATGCATATTGTGACAACATTCAGATTTTGCGTCAGCTTATTTGTTACGATTTTATCTGTCACTCGTCAAACGGGATGAGGAGATTGCGCATGCAGGACAGGGAATAAGGGCAATGTAAATTCTTAGAATACACGTGCATAGTTTATCAGCAGAAAATAATGTTCCATATGTTCTTTACCGAATAAGCTTACGTAAAAGTACTTTTATTGTTGGACTGAAATGTAAAAAATTCCATTTATTTTTCAGGTTGTACGAATCATTCCTAGGCGCCGTCACAGCTTTGACGTGGGAACACATTGAGAGAATTAATGGCGCTTCGAACATTTTCTATGGCTGGGGCGGCGAAGACGATGACCTGTCGCTTCGATTGCAGTTGAATAACATTACGGTTGATAGAGCAGCCGGCAGTAACGGCATTTTCTTCGAGTTTGACGCGAATCATCAACGGGATAAAAACAGTGATCGTGATAAATTAACTACTTTGGAAAATGTGGCATCGCGTTGGCAGAAGGATGGAATTAAACAAACACGTTACAATCTACTTAGCAGACTTGACTACGATTTTTTCATTTGGCTATTAGTATCCATTTGATTTGCAAATGCATACAGAATTGTGTCTGCTCTATTACGATTGAATAAATTGATGCATATGGGAAGTATCTTTTGGAAAGGGAATTCCAGAATTGCGCGCATGCAAAACTCGCAAACGGCAAAAAGCAGTATGCTGTACTTATTGTCGAGCGGGCTAGCAATTAGCGCTTTGATCGCCATAGATCATTCACTTCTTTTGTTAGGGAGATAAAGAAAAAGCTCCCAGGTGATCGACTGTATGGCGTAGACTCCTATGGGTTTTGCTATATTTGGCTTTCTAGCAGAAACCATAAAGCAGAGACCGGCATCTATAGCTCTTCCTAAGTTAACCCAATACTACGGCTGCAATATGTTGATGACACATTTGTCATTGTGAAGAAAAACCAATTAGACCTGCTTCACACGAATCCTAAATCCACATTTGCAGGAGTCAATTTCGCTTTCAAAACGGAATTTGATGGACAACCCCCATTTATGAATTTCCTCGTACGCCGTAAAAAACTGACAGATCCCTTCACACTTCTGTTTATCGCATTGAAATATAGTCGTAGGTCATCCTGCATTTTAAGAGTATCCATCCTGTCTCTCACAAGAGCAATATTGAGGACCTCGGAGCTGTTATGCATTCAGAGTTGATATAATGAAAAGAGAAAGATGTTCTCCGGATAAATCGTACTTAAAATAGAACTTGCTTTCTTGTATCGGTTATTCCGGCTCAACGGATAGCCGGTCAGTTTTTTTGAGAAATTGCCTCAGACATCGTGGACAACCACAAGGCGATGGTTCTAATGAGGGACTAGAACTTCGGAAATTCGTCTCTTTACCCTACATGCACGACATTTCCGAAGCAATCGCCCGACAAGTCGGCGTACTCCCCGCGCGCAACGCTATCCTGAGTAAATGACCCTATACCCAAAGAGCAGCAAACCAATGTCATCTACCGCATCCCATGTACTAACTGCTCTTGCAACTATATTGGTCATGGGGGCCGACGACTCGGGACGCGTATAAACGAACATAAACTAGCCATCCGCCGACGTGACACCTTGTCACTCGTGTTTTCGCACGCCCTTGAATGCGAACATCGCTTCCATTGGGAAGGAACTGAATTTGTTGCCACGGCAAACACCAAACAGGCCCGAGAATTTCTCGAAACCTGGCATTCTAATGCGATCAGCATCAATCGCCAAGTCGATCTGGACTCTCATTACAAAGGTCTGCGTGCCCGGCTCACTGAGTTGCGCCCACTACCTAACAACAGTCGC